TTTTCTGTTTTTTTTTTGCGTATTTTTTTGTTTTGGTGTACTTTTGAGGTTTTTATCTACATGGGGTTAGTATCTACATGATTTATGCTTTGCGGGGTAGGCAGAGCCTGAATGACAGCAAAAGCGTTAGTTTTCGGCCCGTTCGACAAATAACTACTTACCAATTTCAGGACTGTTACATTCATTAATATCATGTATTATTCACTATACAGGTTGTCAGCCTGTCTAATCTTAATACACGTAAAACTCGTCGCCTCTTAAGACACTCACGGGAAAAAAATGGGGCGATGTTACTATTCTGCATCATATCGACTGACCACTGGCGTTTTTGTGGCTATGCTATATATACCTACATGCGGGGTAGGTAGAGCGTAAAAGGTTTTTAAAACGGCCATTTACACCACATTACATTCAGAGGACACTGTATGTGTATCACCATAGTGACAGGATGTCAGCCTGTCGCCTAAAATTGCAGTACAAAAAAGGTTATAAGTAGATATTTTAAAGTTTGTGCTTTTTCTTACTAAGGCTAAGATCATTTTGAAATATCTTCGTAGTCTAGAACCAACACAGAAGTAAGAAAAAAAACGTTAATCCAAACATTAAATTTACGCAAACCTTTCTCTATCTTTCTAAACAAATTGCATAACATATTATTTAACATATGAAATAATGGCTGTTAAATTTTTAATAAAAAGAAACCTGTTTAAGATACGAATTCATCTATGTACTTCCGTTTTTATAAAGACCTCTTCACATAAGCGGGCTTCATTTTTGCGTTTTGTCACGATTGTAAAAATTATCAGTGTGATGCCGGGCTTGCCGGGTTAGAAGAGCGTCACCCCATTTCTTTCCCACAGGTGTCGTAGCATTTTTCATATTACAAAAAATATTCAGAAAGTTTCCGGTGAATGGAGACCTTCCTTCTTTTTAGAACAAAAAATATCAATTTATTTACTAGGTACATTACAACTTCATAAATTCAAAATGGCAGCTAAAAATATGAGTTTGAAATTACTGCAATCGAATTTTTAATTTTTAATAATTGGACTTTTTTTGTGTAGATTTAAACCATCATACAGTACAGTTATTTTCGTAATTTGTGAGATAATTTTGTCAATTTACGAACTAGCTTCGTATAGCAGTCAGTCACTGGCCGTCTCCAAGGTAACCCACTAACTGTAGAATTACGATAAAGCCGGTTACCACACTTGACATTCGTTTGTGCAAAAGAGATAGGTGTATTGCTTATGCCATGATAAGTGTAACAGAGAAAGATGCGTCAAACAATGCAAACATTGTCTTGCGTCAACTTCACTTTTTAGTGCAGGGAATATAAATCATCCTTGCATCTGGTAGAAGCGAGCGTTACGGATGCGCTAACAAGTAGATGTGTTAAAAAACAAAAATCCCGACTGCGGTAATTTTAAAGTAGCATTTTGCTGTAAAAATCCGCCATCTTGTATATATTATTTTTTAATAAAGCCTGTGTCACTCGCGCTGCTGAGACGAATCTAACGACACCTCATCTCATATGTCAAAATCTAAGTATCCGTTTGGGCTGTAGCCCGTGAAAAGGAATTTTCTTTTCCACATACATACATACTCTCGAATTACATAACCCTCCTTCAGAGGCAGTCGGATGCACAACAACGCTCGTCAAGTGTGATACCTGCCTAACCCACCAACTGTGGGATAACGTGACTCAAAGAACAGACACATTTCTACATTAGGCGAGCACGATTTGACTTGTGCATACGAACAAACATATATTATTTAACTGTATTACCTATTCCTAAGTCTCTGAACGGATAGGGTGGTGCTATTTCATATAGAATCTCATTAAATAAACAATACACGTCGATACTACCAAATTGCTCAATGATAAAAAAAATATACAACGGTATCATTTTCTTCAAACTACGATTTTTACAACATACTAATTAATTTAATAAAATTTCATTCGACAACTTATAATCTTTTTTTTTAAGTAATAAAATGCATAATTTAACTATGATGTCATTTCGCAGTGTAAAAACACCTTAACACCCACACACGCAAAGATAATATACTCACACTATTGTAAAATTTTGGCGGCAACTTTCACCCAAATTGGAAAGCGGATTTTTATGCGTGTATGTGTGTGTGCGAGATAACATTTCGTGCATTTTTGAAGAAAGCTTTTATAATAACAAGTTATATTATAATAGCTATTAAGTTATGTAGCTTGTTATATCATTTTATACTTTGTTAAAATTGAATAAAATTATAAGGACTTATCTATGGAGTTGATGGCATAAAAGAAAAATATTTTTGTTTTAATACTACAAGACCTGAAAAACCTGATTTCACGGTTTTGCCGTGTGGTGCTGGCTTAAACAAGCATCACCCCATTTTGTCGCTACAATCTCCATCACACTAGACATTAAATGCTTATTATGACTTCGGACTCTACAAACTCATTTCATGTACCTATTAAAAGAAATGTGATTAAAACAAAATCATCGTTTAAGTAACCTTATGTACTGCCTGCCATTATGCTCTGTCTACCCCGCAAGGGAGATTTTTGTATGTATGTAATAAATACTTACGCAGAAATAAGGTATTGTAGGAGTAAAAAAATAGACGATAGGCTAACAACCGCGTGATTCACAATTTCATCCATCGAATGGGGTACGTTCATCGACGCCTCTTTCGTAGCTCTTTCGTAGAACTTTTATAAGTACTATGACGTTGCTGAACGTGTACTTTACTAATAACGAAAGTATGGAACTGACAGCTGTCAGTATAAAAGTTCTACGAAAGAGTTATACCAAATGGCGCTGTGAACGTGCCCCTGTGTAGTGTGTAGGAGAAATTGTGACGTAACTGAACAATTGGTCAGTAGGTAGTTGTAGACGTTATTGACTGGTATTGACTGTTGTGCAATCGAGTCGCGCCGTAGGACTGGCCACGTACGATCAGATACAAGTGAAGATGTTCAAAGTCTCTTCCTACCTATTGTCTAATTTGATCGAACCTGACATTGGCAAAATACGCCTCCATTTCAATCAACGTACTAAGAGACGTAAAGCCTAAAAAATACCTGGCAAACGATCGACAAAGACGTAGCGACGTACAATACATACCGAGCATACTACAAATCCGCAAAATACAAGCAAGCTACAAAGGTATTAGTAGTACGTAAGTGCAAACAAGTAAAACAGGTAAAAAAGTCTGATTAAATACCTCGATGGGATAGGTAGGTACATGTTTATAAATTTGTAGTTCTGCGACAAATTCTTGTGTGCCTTCATCATTTCACAAAAAAGGTTTTTTTGAAAAACATGCTTTGCAACTTTGCAGCTCATGTTTTAAGTCGATTGAAGTTCAGTTTTTCGTTTGTTTGGTTTGTATACCGTGACGTTTCGCCTTAACAAAAAATGTTCATCACAAAACGTTTGATGTCAATTTTTTTTTTTTGCTGAACATTTCGGTTGAATATTTTTGACGCATATTATCTACACACACAGAAGATACAAAAATGATGTAAGTTTGTATGTGTTGGAGTGTCGAAGTGTGCTTTATCTATTGTTAAGTGAAGTGACTAATATGTATGGAGAAAGCCATATTGCATTCGTAATGTTTGCTAGAAGGATACGGATATCTTCTTCAAATATGAAAATCCGTAACCTTTCTTTATGCTTTGCTGTGCTTAGTTGGTTTTTATGCCTATTTAGACATTCCTTTGCTGCTTAGAGCGTACGTAATCAAAAATAATATTTCAATAAGTTTTCTACATTTTCATGTTTTTACGTATTTTTTGTACAATGTTTTAAATATAACAATTACATCCATTGAAATACTGAAGAAACACGGTCAACCAGGTACCTAATAAAAATATAAATCATCATCATCATCATATAAGTATTCCAAAATCAGTTGGGGTCAGCGCAAAATGTTTTGTTTGAACACAAAATCATGTAGCAAATGAATTTGGCTATGATTTATGACCAGCCACCTGCCTGACGTCAACTCTCTTTGGGAGTGCTATTGTAGGTCTGTGGTATCACCGCCACCACACCATGCGGTTGGTTGACCATAGTTGACCGATATTTAAACTCTACGTACGAAACACCCTGAATGGACTAGGGGTAGCAGTATTCTCAGTAATGATAGGCCGAACATAATAGGTTTCACCGAACACGAATATTCGGGCTAATATTTGATAAAAGTTTGCCGAACTGAATATTCGGCATAACTTGTATTCGAATTACGCGCTGATTCACACCAGATCACTCCGCTCGTGGCTTCTCTAACTTTTTACATTTGATGGAACGATTTGAGGAACGTTAACAACAAATTAAAATAAAACTGCTTCACGGCTTGTCTTGACATAACAATTTATAATGCAATACATATAAAAAGGAGTCGTTTTTATTCGGTGAAATATTCATGCCGAATACCGAATATTCGGCCCATTAATTCTCAGCCGCTACCACACGGCAATATACAGTAGGTATATAGGTAGGTATATTATCTAGTAAGGTAGGTCCGGCGCGCATGCGTCATCTTCACTTTCCCTGCGACTCGGTGTCGCAATGAGGAAAACTGACCGACGACTTTGGAGCGTTGCAGACAATATTTTGGTTCTTGTGGTGCCGGCTTAGAATAGCATCACCCCATACTTTCCCGTAGGTGTTGAAAGAAGTGATTATGCGCGTTGATGAATATCGCAATCTTAAGCGTCAGGCTGACAACCTGTCACTATGGTGATACATAGTGTTTTGAATGACTCTCAAATTTTTATCAGCTTGCTATTGCAGCACCATAGTGACAGATTGTCAGCCTGTCGCCTAAAATGTCCATACACACTGTTAAATCCTTTAGTCGCTCCTTACGGCAACCTCGGGAAAGATACGGGGTGATGCTATTCTAAGCCGGCATCACACGGCGTTACCTAGATATCACACGGGGTTTGTGGCCAAGATATACTTGCTTAACTCGCAGGCTAGGACAAAACCGCGGTAGCCCAGTTTGTTAGTGGCGTCGGCAGTACAAATGCCTAAGGTCGCAGGTTCAAATCCTGCCTGCCGTGGAAAATTTTCCAAGTTTTTTACAAGTTTTCATAATTTTAGGTATAAGATAAAGATAATACGAAGACCTTAAGACCAGTATCTAGTACCTACGTGCAGTTAGGCTCGCGTGCTGCCTAATACGGTGAAGGCCACCCTAAACCCGTAGGCATATACCTAGCTAGGGTCCAAATTTTCATATTTTGACCCATGTTCCATGAACCCTAAACCAGAAGGCATATACCTAGCTAGGCTCCAAATTATCATATTTTGACCCATGTTTAATGAACCCTAAATCAGTAGGCATATACCTAGCTAGAGACCAAATTTTCATATTTTGACCCACATTCCATGAGGCCAGTTGAAGAATGGGGTAATGCAATTCTAAGCCGGCATCACACGGAATTATTACATTTATCCGTGATAAAATCTCACTTCTTAAGGTCTGCTGGAAGAAATTTCTAAAGAAATACCTAAACAGTGCCTATTGCGTGCGAAAAGTCATGACGATGCGTGCGGAAAGTCATGCCGCTCCCGTATCGGCTTATATAGCCATGAAAAATCTTGCCACAGACACTGAATAAATCGTATAAGGCCAGTGATGATGATTGTATGTACCAATATTTTTCATGCCATGTTTTTTTTAATTCCCTGTGTACAATAAATTGTTAAGTAAATAAAATATTTAGAAGACCTTAAGCCCAGTATCTAGTACCTACGTGCAGTTAGGCTCGCGTGCTGCCTAATACGGTGAAGGCCACCCTAAACCAGTAGGCATATACCTAGCTGGGGTCCACGTGCCAGTGATCAACCAGTTTGTTTATCAATCATCACTCATGTGATTCCTACTTGTCATTCATTGAGGCATAAAGTTACATGATGTGTTGTTAGCCTGGCCAGCCCCGAGGCAGTGCCTTTATTTTTATTTGTTTTATCCCGCCCGCGTTTAGAGTAGGAACACAAATTGTTATAAAAAGAGGAAATATCGCACTACAAAAAAATTTGAATGAGACTTTCTTAAAGAGAATCTTGTGAATTCCTATTGAGAAATAAAACTTTTTGATTTTGATTTCATCATCATCATTTTGTTGAACACAAAATCGTGCTGCAAAGAATTTGGCTTGATTTTACGACCGGCCGCCTAACAGACGTCAACCCTCCTTGGGAATGCTTTTGTGGTGGATTAACTGCCACCATACGGTTGGCATATTTGGATTTTTTTCCCTTAGTCAACCCCCGCTAGTTCCTTTATGCTAAGTCACCCGATGAACTGAACAGAAAGATGGTTCCGCGCTTCAGAGAGCGTGCTGAAAAGTCTACGATGAATTAGAAAACCATATTAGAGGTCTACTGTTAGTAGTAGCCGGTTAAAAAGCTCTGACGCCAGGGTTCATCGTGTCGTTGGATGACTCAATGTCCCACTCGAAAAGAAGAATAATATGATTTTTACCCGACTGCCTCAAAAGGAGGGTTATGTTTTTCGAGAGTATGTATGTATGTATGTGGACAAGAATATTCTATATATTCACGGTCTACAGCCCAAACGGATAGTTAGATTTTGACATATGAGGTGTCGTTATATTTGTCTCAGCAGCGCGAGTGACACTGGCTATATTAAAAAATTATAGATTCAAGATGGCGGATTTTTACAACATAATACTACTTTAAAATTACGTGTTTTTTGTTTTTAAACACATCTACTTATTTCATTTGAAGCCTGGTTCATCACAGGCACATGCACCCTACCTAGGTCTATGTCTACGAGATGTAAATTGCCCGGCAGATACTTAGGCTGGGTGCATAAGGTACGCGCGAAGGTCGGCGACTTATTACCTAACTATTATCATACGAGAGGACAGCTGGTAAAGGTGGTAGGGCTAAGTTTATTAAAAACAATGCGCAATTTCGTAAATTTATAAAATTTTGTTGTGTAGTAAAACGTAAAAATAATTACATCAAGTGCACATAATGGGAGAAACTCCTAATAGCTTGTATCTTGGAAGCTACGGCACTGGTTGTGAAAAACTATTTGTGACTTTTATGTAAGACTATTCCTAAAATAATCTCTTTGCGATTTTCAAAGAGAAACATTCTTACTACATTTAGATGAACATACTTGATCGTAGGTAATGTATAAAATATTGCTGAACACATTTTTATGGATGTGAAAGTGACAATCGGAAAGCACTTTACCCAAAGAATTTAGGTGGAAATATGTACCCATTTTTGGTTCTGTAGACATATTTTTTATTAGTTATTATTTTATTAGGTACATACCAGTGGCAAAGGGTGGCATTGCCAGTCCAAAAAATTTACTAAATTATAGTAAATTGATCAGAGTAGCTATTTGTAAATTCCTGAAAGAGAAGCCAATGTGAATCGGCATGTATGGGCCCTTCGTTCGCCACTGGTATACAGGGAGTAACAAAAAGGGTATTACAAGCTGAAATGAGGTGAAGGTACTCATAAAACTGAACAACTTTCCCCATGGAACATAGGTCGAAATATGAAAAAAAAAATTGGACCTCCCATAGTAAATTAGTCAGCTGATCGGCGATTTTGTATGGGAGGTCCAAATTTTTTTTTCATACTTCGAGCCATGTTCCATGGGGAAAGTTGTTCAGTTTTATGAGTACCTTCGCCTCCTTTCGGCTTATAATACCCTTTCTGTTACTCCCGGTATATATATATAGTTTCAGGTTAAAAATCGCAGCGTTTTTTCCTCCCCATGTGCACCAAGCTTTACTTTAAACACCTCACAGTGGGCAACTGGGCAGGCATAGTAATTATCTGCATAAACATTAAACGTACATATAATTATTGCTGAAAACTTAAGTTAGGTTCTAACTTAGGCGCTGTTTTAGTACCTATGAATTTAGTGAGCAATTTCAAGAAATATATGTACTTATAATCGAGCCACTCCAAAAACCCAATTTTTATGTTGATTGATTTTGAACCCTGTCATAATGTTGTTAATGCCTTATCTATCATAATATGGTCTATTTTGCATCTGTTAACACTTGTATAGAACTGACAGCTGTCAAATTTTGCCTTTTGGAGTGGCCCAACATTAGAAAAATAAAAGTAGGTATTTGTTAATTTTTAAAAATATAATCGTTCTGTTTCGTGACGCATGAAACTGGTCAATTTTAGATTCTTATAAATTGTTCTTTTATCGAATATGTTTTTTTTTCTGTTTCAGAAAACTAGGTAAATGTAATGCTAGCTTAGAACGGCATCACCCTATATTTTTCCTGTGGGTATCGTATCGTAAAGGGATTGTAGTTTTAGGCAATGGACTAAAAATCTGACAACACAATTTAAATACGTGACGATTTGGTGACGATATACGGTCATCCACTCTCTGCCTACCCTGCAAGGGATGAAAGCGTGATTTGTGTCTGTAGATTTAACTTCCAAATCAATAAATTCTCGAACGCACGTTTCCAGGGTTGTGCCAAACACTTAATTCGATTCTAATGCATTCCGCGTCAAGGTTGCATCTTGCACACGCTCGGTGCAGCGTGACATATAAATCATGCCTCTTTTCCTTGCGGATAGACTAGCTGCATCTAAGTTGCATCTGCTATACACACACACACACACACACACACACACAGAAATCACGCCTCTGTTCTATGCGGGGTAGGCTAACTGCATCAAGGTTGCATTTGCTATACACACACACACACACACACACACACACACACACACACACACACACACACACACACACAAATCACGCCTCTATTTCTTGCGGGGTAGGCTAGCTGCATCAAGGTTACATCTGGTGCACCGTAATGGGAAGCACGCCTATATTGTCTTTCCCGTGGGTTTCGCAAGAAGCAACTTAGAGATTTGAGATGAGAGTTGTATTGCAGTTTTAGGCGACAGGCTGACAACCTGTCGCTATGGTGATACACAGTCTTCTGAATGACTCTCAAAGTTTTGCCAGACCTGGTCTAAGTCGTCCTTTTTACAGCCGTTTACGCTCTGCCTACCCCGCAAGGGATAAAGGCGTGATATATGTATGTATGTAGTTACAAAAAAAACTACATACATAGTCGCAGACATGAAATAACAAATGAAGACAACTTTCACAATTTAAATCGAGCGATTAGATAATCTAACCGGTTGATTTGATAACCGATATAAAGTGAACCGATTTAAATTCTAGCTGAGAGAGGTGGTTTAGAGTGGTATTAAAATAGAATACCAAGTTTTTTAAGGTATACTTCATATACTACATTTTTTTTTTTACCGCAGGCTGGACACACATGCTTAATTCGCAGTCTAGGATTGAGCCGCTGTAGCTCAGATGGTAGAGGCGGCGTCACCAGTACAGACGGTGAAGATCGCAGGTTCAAATCTAGCCTACTGTGTAAAAAGTTGCAAGTTTTCCAAAAATGGTATTAAAATCACATCGTCCTAGTGTTCGTGCCTTTTAGCGAGGCCTATGTCCAAAAGTGGACTGCTACAGATTCTTTTTTTTCGAGAGGGACACCAAGTCTTCCAACGACCCGATGAACCGTGGTGTTAGAGTTTTTTAACCGCCTACTGCAAGTAGCAGGCCTCAGACATGGTTGTATTACAACCATCATCTAAGTAATCATAGACAGCTGTAGACAGCAAACGGGACCAACGGCTTAACGTGCTCTCCGAAGCACGGAAACATGTTGCTTTTTAGGACAATCAGGTGGTTCAGCCTGCAATGTCCTGACCAGACTGGTGGACTTATGACGTCGTTATAACGTCACTTCATGCCATGTGATGCCGGCTTAGAATAGCATCACCCCATTCCTTTCCTGTGGGGTGTCGTAAGAAGCAACTATAGGACTAGAGTGTAGTGGTATGTGTGCGCAACGTGCGTACTTATAATGTAGTGTGTGTAAGTAGGTCGATTAGTATAAGCATTATTTGAATTTATAAATTATATCGTATTTTAATCAGACTTCTCATGTAGACACTAAACTGTACGGACGCCCTGCAATAAATATTACTTACTATGTAATCTACGTGTTTGGAATTATTCGCCCAACAACCACCCTCTGCGAGCTCCGGAACTCATGCTGTCCCTGAGGTTTCTACATACAAACCGCGGGATAGTATAAGAGGGTTTCATGTGTATTGCAATTTTAGGCGACAGTCTGACTGACAACCTGTCACTATGGCGATACACCACAGTAGCTAAAACGGCCCTCAAATGTTTGTCAGACGTAGCGATTATGACCGTATTTTCACGGTCGTTGGCGCTCTGCCTACCTCGCAAGGGATAAAGGCGTGATTTATGTATCTATGTAAGTATGTAAGTATGTATGTAAGTATTACATTTGTTTACGCTCTACCTACCCCGTAAGGGTTATAGGCGTGTTTATGACGTCACTTCAGAGCGAGCAAAAGTTGCGCATAATGTTCCAACTAAGTTGTATGTCGTGTGATGCCGGCTTAGAATAGCATCACCCTATTTTTACCAGCAAATATAGTAAAGTACCAATAAAGTAATATCATGGGTTGCCAATTTATGTATCAGAGGTAGCGATAACGTTTGTTTTTGAGGATTTTCATGCCCCACCTACCCCACAAGGGTTATAGGCGTGTTTATGACGTCACTTCAAAGCGCGCAAAAGTTCGCGTGCGCGCACAGCCTTGACGCTTGCGCATAATGTTCCAACTAAGTTGTATGTCGTATGATGCTGGCTTAGAATAGCATCACCCCATTTTTACCAGCAAATATAGTAAAGTACCAATAAAGTAATATCATGGGTTGCCAATTTATTTATCAGACGAAGCGATAACGTTTGTTTTTGAGGACGTTCACGCCCTACCTACCTCGCAAGGGTTATAAGCATGTTTATGACGTCACTGCAGAGCCACAGCGCGCAAAAGTTCGCGTGCGCGCACAGCCTTGACGCTTGCGCATAATAACATAATAAGCCAACTCGCTATGCCTACCCCGCAAAGGAATACAGGCGTGACATGTGCTCGTAAGGGATTCGAGATTTATAGGTGTATTGCAATTTTAAGCGACACGCAGGCAACCTGTCACTATAGCAATACACCACAATAGCTTAAACAGCCCTCAAATATTTGTCAGACGTGGCTATAACGATTGTTTTTGAGTATTTTATTTATTTTATTTAATTTTGATAGGAAAACCAACAGCTAACAAACAGTATACTTAAAAAAGCTAGAGAAACAGACAGCCAATTAAAATTAATTATGTATGTATGTATTACGCTCTGCCTACCCCGTAAGGGTTATAGGCGTGTTTGTGACGTCACTGCAGAGCGCGCAAAAGTTCGCGTGCGCGCGCAGCCTTGACGCTTGCGCATAATGTTCCAACTAAGTTGTATGTCGTATATGATGCTGGCTTAGAATAGCATCACCCCATTTTTTAGCGTGGTGATAACGATTGTTTTTGAGGACGTTCACGCCCTACCTACCCCACAACGGTTACAGGCGTATTTATGACGTCACTTCAGAGCCACAGCGCGCAAAAGTTCGCGTGCGCGCACAGCCTTGAAGCTTGCGCATAATAAGCTAACTCACTGAGTTCTATGTATCTGATAAATTATTATCCAAACTGACGAACATACTGGGCTATTTTTTAGTCAGTGCGCAAACTTTACAGGGTGTTTCTACTCGTGATTCTGAACAACTTTTATTATGGGACCACTTGCGAATTCGCAAAAAAAAAATTGGATGTTCTATAGAAAAAATCATACCTAGGTACTCGGCAAAAATGTATGGAACAAACAAAAATTTTTTTAGATTTCGCACGTGGCCCATAGTAAAAGTTATTCAGAATCACGAGTAGAAACATCCTGCAAAGTTTGCGCACTGACTAAAAAATAACCCTGATTTCAAAGTCTGATCATACTACCTTAGATACTAGCCACCTGCGATTATATGCCGTGTGATGCCGGCTTAGAATAGCATCAACCTAATTCCAAAAATGTCATAGTACCGGCATTAATCGCCTCATATTAAAAAAACTGCTACGCCGTAGCAAATCCGTAGCACAGCGTAGCAAATTCGATTATATTTTTTCTCTTTTTCTACAGCAGAGACTGAGTATTCAACATTTTGGTCTTAAAGGCTCTAAATAGGTACTTAAGGACTGTCAAAATAGTAACGCTGATGCCCAAATACATAAGGACTGTCAAAATAACGTGACGCTGATACCCTGCCTGACCCTTTAAACACTAGAGGCGTGACTCGCGTGCTATATCATTGATAGCAGGGTTTCCCATTTCGTAACACGTCTATACATCTCACGATAGTGTGTGTGTGTGTGTGTGTATAGTTAAAGGTATTGGTACTGTCAGCGACAGGTTAAGTTACCACCATTTAAGGGCACTGACTTTTAAGAGTCCAATTTTGAAAAATACGGAGATTATAACTTGTAATATTCCGTGTGGTATCGGCTGACGATACTGCCACCCCTAGTCCAGTCAGGGTGTTTCGTAAAAGGCGACGTAGAGTTTTTGACCTCGGCTGAATATCTGTCGTCTATGGTCAACCGCATGGTGGCGGTGATACCACTTACGATAGCATTTCCAAAGAGGGTTGACGTCAGGCAGGCGGCCGGTCTTCAAACATTGCCAAATCCTTTACCTACATGATTTTGTGTAATTTAATCAGTCAAGTGCCCAACTAAACATGGAATGGAGAATTGGAATTGAAGAGCCTACTCTACATTTCCGGATGGTATCAAGAGGACATCCCTGGTTCCTGTAGAAGACACTATCATCTTTCTGCTGGAGCCACCTACCGTTCGGCGCAGCAGCAATCTTATTATACTGACACTGGCAGAATTACCCTAAATGGGTAGAAGTCCATATATATTTTTTTATGTAGCCTGTTCTATGTCCCATATTAATAAATAAAAAAATAATACATGATTTTGTGCTGTAACAAAACATGTGGCGCCTATCTAACCGATTTGCGAGGGCAGCGCTTCTGCCATTAAGAGACTTCTAGCCGGACATGCATTCGAAAACATGTAGATTTTCTAATCTCTTTTTTTCCACTGCTTTTTCCAATTTTTCCCAATTTCAATATTTTTAAATGTATTCAACTCTCAATTATTACTTTCAAACAAACATGTTCAACGGTAATACACTATAGGTGGAGATTTGTTATTAGTCCGATATCATGTATTTTTTTCGCTAACTGTTGTATAAAACTGTTAATCTCCCAAATAAAATAAAATTAAATAATATAAAATATTATGAGGGCAGGCAGAAATGGTAACTATACCCGCTGCCTACTGTACCCTACAAGTTGTCAACGACAGCAAAGTCAACTCGGTAACGCATTGCGTGTTGCGCAAGAATTACATACGCGCGCGCATGGGAGATAGATCGCAACGTTAGTACAGAGATTGACATTCAGATGGTATCAATTTTAAAAATTGAAAAATTCATCAGCGACCGCTGGGCCTTGAACCCGGGACCGTGGGGAACCGTCCCACTGCTCTACCAACTGAGCTACGGGCGCCCAACTGACTCTGATGAATTTTACACTCTCGAAGCGACGATTTAAGCGACATCTAGTAGTAGTTTTTACAACTAAATTCTTTGCTTAGTCCTTAGTTCACATTACAAAGCACTACAAGTCTACAACTAGTCAACGACAGCAAAGTCAACTCGGTAACGCATTGCGTGTTGCGCAAGAATTACATGCGCGCGCGCATGGGAGATAGATCGCAACGTTTGAGATTCAGATGGTATACTTGGGCCTTACAGTACCTACGTCCGTACCATTAGGCCATATTTGACAGATGCCATCTTACGTTCTCGTCGCCTCTATGAAGCTTGCGCTTAAAATGGTAACTATATAGTGCGTTTCATCGTAAAGTTTCTATTGCGTCATGTTGGTAGCACTGAAATTTTATACGGTGGCTTGACCGCGGCCATAATAGGTATTACACACGGCTTTCCAATGCTACCAACATTACGCCATAGGAACTTTAAGATGAAACACACTGTACCCGCCGCGTACTGTACGCTACAACTTGTCATCGACAGCAAAGTCAACTCGGTAACGCATTGCGTGTTGCGCAAGAATGACATGCGCATAGATCGCAGCGTATATACATTTACAGAGATTGAGATTCAGATGGTATCAATTTTAAAAATTGACAAATTCATCAGCGACTGCTGGGCCTTGAACCCAGGACCGTGGGGAACCGTCCCGCTGCTCTACCAACTGAGCTACGGGCGCCTGGCTGACTCTGATGAAGTTTTCACTCTCGACGATTTAAGCGACATCTAGTAGTAGTTTTTACAACTAAATTCTTTGGTTAGTCCACATTACAAAGCACTACAACTTGTCACCGACAGCAAAGTCAACTCGGTAACGCATTGCGTGTTGCGCAAGAATTACATGCGCGCATGGTAGATAGATCGCAGCGTTTAATACTGAGATTGACATTCAGATGGTACAAATTGTAAGTAAGAAAATTGGAAAATTCATCAGCGACCGCAGGGCCTTGAACTCGGACCGTGGGGACCGTCCCACTGCTCTACCAATTGAGCTACGGGCGCCTGACTGACTCTGATGAATTTTTCACTCTCGAAGCGACGATTTAAGCGACATCTAGTAGTAGTTTTTATCACTAAATTCTTTGGTTGGTCCACATTACAAAGCACTACAACTTATCAACAAAGTCAACTCGGTAACGCATTGCGTTGCGCAAGAATGACATGCACGCGCGCATTGGAGATAGATCACAACGTTTGTACAGTGATTGACATTTGTACTTGCCTACCCCGCAAGGGATATAGGCGTGCGTGATAAACAAAACAGGATATGAAAAAATCACCTGCAATTGCCTGCAAACATTTTGAAGGGTAAAACAGCTTTATCATATTCATATTTCATGTTCCTTGGAAAGAGTTGTTCAGTTTCATGGGTTGGTTGGTTTACCCTTAAAACACCTTATATTTATGTATGTTCAATTAAATGTTCAATTTATGAAATTTATTATCACTCGCACTGCTGAGAGAGACGAATCTAACGACACCATATATGTCAAGTCAAGACCCCCTTTAGCCCGTGAAAAAGATTTGCTTGTCCACATACATACCTACATACATGCATACTCGCGAAAAACATAACAGTACTTACCTATGGTTATTAAGGCAGACGGGTCGGGTACCCAAATAAGACGAAAGTTTGAAACATTTAAGGCTTTAGCAAAGAGAGACAATTTTGCCAATGTCAAGATTACAAAAATGTAGAGGTAGAGTGCTCAAAGTTAGGCTCAAAGATTTTGATTATGCCATCATCAATGAATCTTCTGATATATAAGAAAGATGTAGTATGTAATGTACCTATAGATAGGAACATGTGTATTTTTGTACAGTTTACATAAATATAACTTAATTGATAGCCTGTTTTATTACCTTGTAAAAAACTGAAACGTAGACACTTCGATTTCGAAATTTCGCGACAGGACGCGCGCTTGTCTCAATTAAAACAATTTTAATACTTTTTACAAACAAATCACTACTTAAATCCCTTACATTAGAGTTCAAAGTAAAAAAAAATACAATTCATTCATCATTCTGAAAAACAATGCACGCAATATCAAACTTAAAAAACTACGGAATACGTCACAAAGTCCTTTAAACTGCGTCTAAATATCCACACAACTAAACAACCACCAAATTAAAAAGCCCTCTTAAAACCAACTAAAAGTACTAAATTGTATATCTTTTACAACTGGCCGCTTTACCTCCTAACATTGTCAATAGAGTTTGGGCTTTAGGACTGAATTAAAAAGACCTTTCGAAACGAATAGATACTACTGAATCGTAGATCTTATTCATCTGGTCGCTTTAGGCCACAAAATTACGAAGACCTTTCAAAGGATGTAAACACTACTGAACCGTAGTTCTTTTTGAACTGGTCGCTAATTCCCTGTACTGTCACAGGATTCTAAGCTCTAAGTACGAAGGATTAGAGTGCGTTTTTGCGTGTTCGCAACGGCGGTTTGTCGCCAAGTCGAAACTGTGTCACGGGTTGAACGGCACGGCAAGGCCGGTGTCAGCTTGCGCGCGCAAAACCGCGGATGTAGCTGGCCGGTACATAGAGCGATGTCATCTAGCGTTCGAGCGCGATTTTGAAAATAGAATTCGTGTTTACTTTTTAAAAAGCTTTATTTTAAATGGGTTCTGTTTTTTTATCTCCAGGATTTTTGTTTTAGCAGAAATAATATTTTCAAATTAAGAACCCGTTTCTTTTTTATTTACAGGCAATGTCATGCACTGCACCCAAAGTTCGTACATCTGTTTTCTTTTCGTAAGAAATATATATTTCAAATTAAGAGTTCAACCCATAATAGTTTTCTGTCAATGTCATCTACCATAGATAATTCTTGCAAGATTAGCTATGATTTCATTCCTTCCATGTAAGTAAGTATTGGACATTTAAGGCCCTAGCTTCACACATTAGACGTGAGACGTGCGACATCGTGACGCTTGAAATAGTTTTCATATAAAATGTATGAAAATGAAAGGTAACACATATGAGACGCGCCCCACATCGATGACGGATAACGGCGATAACGGTCACTTGTCTGAGTTTTCTGACAGATGTCATCTTACTTCTCACGTCTCACGTCTTACGTCTACAGCATAAAACTCGCGCCTAAGATTACATAGAAAAAGAAAAATCAAAAGATCCATTGAATAAGGCTGTATGAGTCTTGATCCTTTGACTGTCCTAAAACTAAAAATAATTGACAATTTGCATGATTATCCCTAAGGCCAAAAATAGTAAATTTTACTGTGTACAATGTAATAAGACGAATCAATTTAATTTCCTAACAAACCTAAAGCATTACAATTAACTACTTACTTGGTAATTATTCTAAACAATAGTTAGTAAATTCATGTTATCATATCACGTAGCTACATTTTGAGTCCAAACTGCATAACTTAGGCGACAAACACACATAACATTCGTTAGTGCGTTATTTCTGCGCTGCGTAACGCATGCGTTGGGACAACACGAGTTTCGAACTTATTTGGAACTTATTCCCACTTAATATAATCTGTCAAACGTTTCGACAGACGTATCCGATAGCGCTGCGCATCGCACAAGGCTGTGTCGATGGATGCGTCTGTCAAACCTTATGACAAACTGTATTTGCACATAATACAGGGTGTAAGGGACAGCTCTCCGAATACTGAAAGGGTGCATTCAGACCATGAAACTGAACAACTACCCATAGAAATAAATTTCAGGAAACGTAAAAAAAATTCGGACTTCCCATAGTAAATTGAATCAGTCGATCGTGATTTTGTATGGGAAGTCGAAAATTTTTTTTTGTTTCCTGAAATTTATTTCTATGGCAAGTTTTTCAATTTCATGGTCTAAATGCACCCTTTCAGTATTCGGAGCGCTGTCCCTTACACCCCGTAGAGAGTTTACAGAAGGTTCACTCAACCCTATTCAGGATTTTTGAAATTGTCACATAGCCGGTAACCCCGGCTAATCTAAAAAGTATAAGAAGTAAAATCTCAAAGTATAAGAATATCAAAACAACAAAATCTGATACAAGAACTTCATATGGTTCTGAGCCAGCTTTAATCCAAAAAATATGACGTTCGTGGCAACCATCTTCTTAGGTACCTTGAGTTCCCCTGAGAAATCAGTTTTTTCCAGATAAAGTGAGTAAATGCTAAAATCGTCGCTAGTGCTGAGTGAGCCATCTCTATAGGCGACACTGTGTGGCGCCAGGGTCTGCTATACAAGTTGCTAAGCGTTATACCTTGTATGAAAATATATAGACTTCTTGAGAGCGCGCTCACAAACCGACCATACCAGGTGCACTTGGGTGACCAAGCAAGCAACACAAGAGTGCTCAATGATGGCCTTCCCCAGGGCTCTGTGCTCGCGCCGTTACTTTTCAATCTATACGTCCACGACCTGCCTATAACAGCATCACGGAAATTTGGCTACGCGGATGACTTAGCTCTCATAACTCAGGACAGGGATCTGCAGGCTACTGAAGCTGTGCTGGAGAGGGACTTGTCGACCATGAACGACTTTTTCATGCGTTGGAGGCTCTGCCCAAATGCTTCTAAAACTGAAGTCTCATGCTTCTACCTGAGCAACAAGCTCGCTAACAAGGAGCTGAATGTAAGGTTTAGAGACACGCTTCTGCACCACAACCCCCACCCTAAATACTTAGGAGTCACTTTAGACAGAAGCCTAAACTACAAAGAAAACACCTTACAAAGGTTTCCGCCAAACTCAGAACCCGGAACTGCGTCGTGCAAAAACTTACCGGAACCACCTGGGGAGCCAAAGCGTCCACACTCCGTACAACCGCGCTATCTCTCGTGTACTCTACGGCCGAATACTGCGCGGCGGTCTGGCTAAACAGCGCTCACGTCAAAGCAGTCGACACTCAGCTCAACCATACCATGCGACTTGTATCAGGGTGCCTAAAACCAACTCCAACACATTGGCTACCTGTTCTCAGCCACATAGCACCACCTAGGATTCGAAGGGAAAAATGCCTGAGCCGTGAAGTGGATAAAATAAAGGGAAACCCAGCGATCCCTATCCACCTCGACCTTCAACACTTCAAAATATCCAGGCTTAAATCCAGGCACCCCCCCGCACTGAAAGCTCACGACCCGGAACCTCCACGGGACGCACTGGAGGCATGGGTGGCAGAATGGGAATCAGACGGGCCCTCCAGTGACCTCTTCGAGTTCAACACAAAACAAAAACCGCCTGGCTTTGATGCGCCGCGCCATGTCTGGTGTTCCCTCAACCGCATCAGAACGGGTGTTGGTAACTGCGCACATTTATGGCACAAATGGGGATGGAACGAGTCACCGGCCTGCCAGTGCGGATGCCCAGAGCAGACAGTGCACCACCTGGCTTTCGACTGCCCTCTCAATAAATACAGCGGGTCAAGGGCAGATTTTAGATATTTCTCCTCCGACGCCCGAGATTATCTCTGTTATAAAAACTATAAACTTTGACCAGTTTAATGGATGCCATACGATAAATAAATAAATAGGCGCCCCGTGTGTTGTTTCCCTAATTTGTGATAGCGCTACGCGAAAATAAAAAAACGCTCAAACGAACGTTACGTATGTTTGTCGCCTTACACTATCTGTGTTAGGGTGCCTAGGTTACACAATTTATGTCTAGGTTCCTTATCTAGACGATAGCTGAGTACTACCGAATTAAGTGTA